TAGTTGGCAGGTTAGGGTCCGAGGGTAGAAGTCGTATACCTATAGGTAGTATAGACTTCACGGGGATCCGGGCTAGGTATCTAGCGGGTTTCGGTAGTATGACTCAGGTTAGTCTCGGAAAAGTCGGGATAGACTTAGGAGACGGGTAGACGTCGGGTGTAATCCTCGGGTTAGCTAGCGGGTATAGTCTTGGACTTTACTAGGAGGGTTAGTTAGACGGTCTAGGGAGTCATACAACCGAGGGTAGCGTTTGTCGGTCGGGCAACGCGGGACAGGACTACGGTTCGAGTCTTATCGGGGTGAACGTTCTAACACGTTTACCAAGTGTTTCAGGTATAGATGAGCTGATCGGTGGCGGAATAAGGCGACGAGGCCATGAGGAGTCATCGACGGAAGCTTCATCAGATTGAGGGCGACAAGTGACTAACTCCGGGACATCAGGTAAGTGAGGTAAGTCAGGTAAGTTTGCATTTAAATTCCGACGAAAGTCGAAGGATCGATGAAAGTCGATCGGTGCCGGAATCGGCGAACCACTAGTGTTTATTTTTTTGTTATTATTGTTTTTGCTCGTTTCTTTCTCCACCAAGGTGGAGATTGTTGGGCCCGCTCGGCCCAGCGGCCCAAATTGGCGAAGAAAGAAAAAACGGCCCGCTATGTTGATGCGCCGCGTTTCAAAGAAAGGTTAATGAAACCCTAATGGGTTTTGGAAGAGGAAGGGCGCGCGTGGCTCGAGGCGAGAGAGGAAGGCGATTGAGAGAGGAAGACGATTGAGAGAGAAAGAGATCGGAGGCGACATCGGAGGCGATCTCGCCGGTGGAGCTTCGGCGGTGCGAGCCAAGGTTACGGGTGAGTGATTCCGGTAAGGTTGTCTCGAATCTCTCGGTTCTCGGGTGTTTCTCTTCTCTGTAAATGTTATGGCGAGACACCGTGTTGTGGTGCTCCGCCGGTTCTTCTTTCCGTCTGATCTAGTGGATTCGCCGGCGCCGTTCCGGCCGAGACGTAGGCCCGAGGAAACTCGGTAACCGAACTCGTAAAAACCCCGCTGTGTCTTGTTTCGGTTCTTGAACACACGAGCGTCGGAGAGAACCGTGAGAATCCGATATCCACTTCACATCTCCAATGAACAATTATTTACCCCCATTATTAATTTATAAATATATAAAAATTATTGATAAAAATTATATTAGTACTCTATCGATCGATTGATGTTGAACACCAAATATTTTAAATACTTAAATTTATAAATATATCAGATTTAATTTTAAAATTTTATGTTAATATTCTGACGCAATCTTAGCCTCTGCATGGTATTATGTTTATGACGTGGTTGAGAATATGCCTCAATAGTGTTTTTAATCAATAAAACAACGATAAAAACGGAAATGATGTATGATAATCAAATCCTTTTTATTTTCGGGAGACTTTGCAAAGAAAATTTAATTTGTATATCCATTAAATTCATTATACAATTAAAAATGGAATGATTTGAAACAAGCGAAATTTTATATAAAAACAAATTTGCCCTAAATAAATCCTATGAAACCGAATTCGAATTGAATCTAAATCGAGTAAAACCATATATCTGAGTTTGAATATCGAACGAAATATTTTGTACAAATCGAATACGAATAGAATTCGAATCGAATGAAAGCTTTAAATATATATATATATATATATATATAAATTCGAATGGAATGAAATCCTATATAAAAACCGAATTTGAATCTTAAAAAAATCACTGCCAACGACGCCGGGATCTTATTACCACCATTGTCACCATTGATAATAAAGTAAACGAAGACAGGAATCTTATTATCAAAATTGCCGACTACCAGCATTTATATCTCTGATCTATCGTAGACATGATAAGTTAACTTTAAAACTATTTTTTTATAATATTGAATAATAAATTTTAAGATTTATTTGCCTAAATATCACTGAAAATTAAAATCTAATGAAAATTAAGAAGAGAGAAGGTAAATAATGGTCTTTCTCAATTGATCTAGCTTGTGTTATGAAAAAATTCCAAAAATCTTTTTATGATTTTTTTACCAAAAAAAAACTGGTCGACTTGCCTGTCCTGACCTGAACTAATAATGGCGTTATGAAAAAACTTTCTGAAAAAAATTTGATTTTTTTAACAAAGGCACTCCAAGGACCTCCCCCATTCCGAATCTGAATCTATAAAGACAAAGAAGGACACTTCCTCTCTTGTTCTGAAACAAAACAAAATCGAAAATTTTATTTTTTGAAAAAATATTGATTATTTCCCAAATAGATATTTTTTAGACAATTGTAGAAATTTTCTCGTTATTTTATCGAAACAAAGTGGAAAAACCAATGAAAAGCAGAAGCAACTGATAAACATCACTCAAGAACACAAAACATCACTCAAAACACTCCATCTCTGGAGCTGATGAATAGAATCATCAGACAACACTTGGATTCGGCGTGGCGAATTGGAGAAGCTCGTGATCTTCCTCCAAGGCTGACATCTTGTCATTCATCAAGGACACCCAAACCTCGATTCCTCGTCCGTTTTCCGTATCCATCAATATGAACACTTCAAATTCCCAGTTCAAATTATTCGCAGTCACCCAATTCGGGTTTCCGAATCCAAGATCCACTTCATAGAACCCGGTTCTTGCCCAGCTCGTGAAAATGTGTCCGTCGATGGCTCCGCTGATCATCCTACACATAAAATCCCACCTTTGTTTCTCATACTCCTCCGCAAATTTCATGGCCTCCATCGTACGAAACTTCTCCAATGTTTTCTCCTTATTATCCCTGAGTTTCCTCACCATTTGTTCAAGACCTGTCTCCGAACCATCAGTATCCACGCTAACAGACAATACGATGTTCCCCATGGAGTTTTCCGACAAGATAGGAGATATGTTCGTGTTTCTTATGTTCACAGGAAACTGCACAGAGGATGGCTTCTGGACACCATTGTCCGAACGCGTTGCCCTCGTCAGGCAACACCATAAGAGCCCCACGATGGATTCGAACCTCGTTGGGTCTTTCACTTGTTCACTCGCTGCCCTGACTTTCAGCAAATTGATCTTGTCGGCTTCGAACACAAATCTCTTCGTCACGAATTCGGGCTTCTTCGTCGTCACGTGGTTCCTCTCATCCTTTGGCATCGGGTAAGGTTCTTGGTGGGGCAAACGTGGGAAGATCATGGATGATGATAAATAATTTGGCGTCACCATATCTCCATGGCCTCTCGCAGTGGCTGCCCAACCGCGTAGAAATATAGAAACCGTGGTTACATCTGCCACGATGTGAGGAATTAACACCCCAAGGACGAAACCACCGCACGAAAAGAAAGTGACTTGGACGAGAAGCAATGGCCACAGTTCGGCCTTTGGGCTGCGGCTTGGCATTAAAGCTACCAGGGTCAGTGGATCCGGATTCACTAGAAGATCCGAGAGCAAAACACTGGCACGGGCCTCGATAAAGAGAGCACCTTCGTCATTACACTCAATGACCTTGTCGTTGATTCTGCCTGTGAGAGGGTAAAAACAGGTCAAGGTCTCGGACAGGGAATTTTTAAGCTTCCCAGAGATCTCAGCTTTGTCGGCGCCATTGTAATTGTAGAAGAAGAGTCCGCCGACGAAAACCGGAGCCATTTTTTCGTCAATGAACGAGAGTTCGACGGTTTTGAGACGATGAGAAGTCAGAGAAGACGGCTTAATGGTATCTTTGAACAGAATCTCCACCTTCATCTTGGACATGTTTGATGTTTGCCGATGATGTTTAGAAGTGAAGGTCACAGTGTTTGTGCTTTCACTAGATGAGATTTCCCATCAACATATGAGATGCTTATAATAAGCAAGTGTACTCTACAACAAGAGGCGGGTAGGTATGGAAGGGAGTCACATCAATTATAATAACTAGGGAAAATGCATATTGATGGGGGCAAACTTCACAAATACACCTTGAGCGTCACATGTCTTTCAACGATACATCCCAAAAATATAAAGAATTAACAAAAGATAATCTTACCCTTAAAATTGTTGGAAAAGACTACTATAACCTTAATGAAAACAAGCATGTAACATTTGCACACGTGGGATAAAAAATTTACCATATAAAAATAAAAAAGAGTTTTATATTACAAATTTAAAATAAAATAAAATAATAGAAAAAGAAAGACGTTGAGAGAGAGAAAAATTGAGTAGCGAAACATATATACGAAATCGAGGGAAATCTATCAAAATCTATCGAAATCTGGGAAATCTAACGAAATCTAAATAAACACTTAATATTTAATTGATATGTAATCTAATTCTTCAATTATGAGTTATATTATTTTGATTCATTTAATTAAATAGTTTATTTTAAATTATTTTTAAAATTTTATAAAAAATATTTTAAGAATTAATAACTTATCTATTATGATGTATAATATATAAAACTAATTAGAAATAATTAATAAATAAAATTATATTATAACACTATCTATCACTAAAAATCTAGAATATAAAATTAACAAAATTGATAATACAAAAGCGTAAATGTTAATATATTGAACTAATTAATAAAAATTATTAAATAAATAAATAGAAATGATTAATAATCAAATTATATTATAACAAAATATTTATTTTTTAAAAAACATTAGTGATTATTTTGGTTATTTTTAATTCAGATAAGATTTGATTACGTTTTTATCTTATTATAGTTTTGTATAGATCCATACAAAGGAAGTTAAAACTAATTAAAAAAATATCTAAAAAGTTATATGAGAGTCGTATCAAACCGATAATTTCGGTATTTTTTTCCGAATCAAACTATCCAATATTTTTGAAAAATAATCTTTTATAGAAATGAATTTCTCAGAGTCAAACTGAACCCAAATTTTAAAACATAAATAAGATTGTAAATAAAGAGTGATCGTGACAAAATATTAATCTTCTGAAATCAATTTTTTTGCATAAACAAACAAATATAGAAAGTCGCATATATAACCAAAAAAAGGTTGTAAATAAGATGTGGTAATTGTAACTAATAGGTAGTAGTAATTGAGATCAAATTTTTCTAGAACCTAATTTGTCCTAAAAACCCAAATATTTAAAATAATATATAAAACCACGTGGAGAATATGCTAAAAGAATGTGGATCCAATGTAAAGAAAGTGGTGAATCCATGTAGGTAAAAGACCAAGAGAATGTGGGTCCAATCATGAGAGAACGTTGAATTTTGATTTATTTTGTCTTATTATCGGTCAAAACAAAAAATTTATGACTTTATTACGACTTATTTGCCACCACCGAATTCTAATTAAATTGTTTAAAAAATCATAAATTTTAGTTCTATTTTATCAAATGATCATAAAAATCTGTCAATTAAGTGATAATAATCGGTTTACATTAATTCTTTTTAATAAATTTTATATTTTGTTTAATTTTATTTAATATAGGTGGATGTGTTTGTTTTAGGATAATATACATTTAATGTTGCACATAAAAAAATGTACAAGTGTTTAATAAATATGTAATTTATGATCTAAAACTCTTTCTTTTGATATGATTAGTGTATATTCATCATCTTTTGAAAAATCTTCGACAAAATACACGTTTTATACAAATATTTTTTCCGATTCGCGAAGTCGCAAATAAGTCGTAATTAAATCGTAAAATATTAGTTTTGGTAGATAATACGACAAACATGAACCATTTTTTGATACATGAGACATTTAATTTTTTGACTTTTCTACTTATTTAATTTCTTTTTTTTATACTTTTTTACTTATTTTGACCTTTGACTTATTTTAACTAATTAATTATCATTATTGTCTAAACAATTATGTTATTGTAACTTAACAATTGCGATCATGACTGATTTTTCTATATACCTGAAAAATGCACAGAACAGTCATTTCAGAAGAAAAAAATATCACGTAGTGATTCAATAGCTTACAAAAAATAATAACAATTAACCGATTAAATGTACAATATATTTTTTATCTAATCACTCAATTTCGTCATAAATAGCATAAAAAATAGGGGAAAGTGCGATAAGGTAGAGAGCGGATATAAGAGAGAGAGAGGAGAGAGATGGCGTGATAGAAGAGAGAGAAAAGGTTAGTTGGAATTTTTTGCACGTTTTTTAATTTTAAATGCATAGGGTTATTTTAAATATTTTACAGTTAGGGTTATATGAGTCATTTTACCATAAATAGGGTGTAGAATCTGAAAATAAATTTTTTTACATTTTTTGGGGTGTATCAGTGAAACGGCTGCGACGGTTTAGGTGTAATCCTGAAGTTTGCCCTATTGATGGTGGTAGGTTCGTAAATAGTTGCACAGTTGATTATCTAACAGATTCTAATAATTAGGTACTAACCCCGCGCGCCTCACGCAGAATATAAATATTTATGTGTTATGTATATTTTATCACAATAATATTGGTTTAACAAACTGTGTAAAATCAATTCACTTCTAATTTAAATATATATGAGTTGGACCTCATTTAACTAGGTATCTTCCCTTAGTCGACTTTTTTTTATAACATGATGGTTTCTCGAGTTTTAGATCCGAATATATCCACCCTAGGCCCGGGATCAGCCTTTGTATATGGACTATTTTGGTCAAAAAATTACATCTTTTCTCACCAATAGAATCGAACCCATGACTTTGAGAATGACTTTGTTATCCCCTCCTTTAGTCGACTTGTATTTCATTAGATTTATTTTGTACTATTTTTATCACCCCATTATTTATTTTACATAATCATTCAAGTCCTATTTTTAGCTTTTTGTTTATATAATGGAAGAATTGACTTATTTTCTCATAAAAGTTAGAATCTCAAATAAAATTATACTTATCAAATCTAGATTGTAATAGCACTCGATATGACTAACCTTTTACTTAGAATATACACTTCAAGACATGATTCGATAAGTTTATGAAAAATGTTCGGAACATAAATCCAATGAAATCTAAAAGATTTCTACTCGACTAAATTGACATTTCACATTATCCCTCATTAAAATCTTAATGTAAAATTCCCTTTTGTTTTTCTCCGCGTTTATTCTGTTTTGTTTTTCTCATTAGTTTCTTTCCTGTTATATATGTGTAGCATATACATGTGTATCGGTGTATCGAAAGCAATACAACTCAGAGGATTCTTTTGTTAAAAAAATCTCCATTCTGTCTCTTCGATCCCTGTGTTCTTCAGCCTTTGCTTATCAAATCCAAACTTTCACACAACCTTCTCCGACATGTTCGCTGATGATTTTTAGAAGTGAAGGTAAAAGTGTTTGTGTTTTTACCATCGATCAACATATGAGATGCTTCTTTACCAAAAAAAAACATATGAAATGCTTATAATAAACATGCATACTCTACAGCAAGAGGCGGGTAGGTACCGAAGGAGTCACATCAATTATAATGACTAGGGCAAATGGACAAATGCATATTGATGGTGGTGCGTTCGTAACTAGCTGCAAAATTGATGATCTAACAAATTCTAATAATGTAGTTTTTATATTACGTATATGTATTATCAATATATTGTAACCACAACTAATTAAACTTAGATGGTCATATATTGACATTATTTCTTACGGCACAAGTTTTTTATTTAGAGGAATAAAATGGAATCACGTGAATGACTTTTTCAATTCCTTCGTACGTCGCAATCCACCCAACAACAGTGAATCAGTGATTGGCCTTGCCAATATGCAATATATATACTACGACCGTGTTGCTCATCCGGATTTTTGAAAACATCACATTTATCATCCTTTCAATTACATTAACCGATACAAAAATAATGGTCTTCTTCATGATTGTTCTATTAAAAATTCAATAAATAAACATTTATTAAAATATAACATATAAATATTATTGAAATATAATGTCAAGTCGATAAGAAAGTTATCTTGTTGACTGTGCCAGTTGGGATTATATATTTAACAAGTTGACAACTTGACATCCACATTGAATGGCAACTGTAAATATTATTACAAGATACGAAATTGTAATAATGTAACTCAATAATAGTTTCCGACCTTTCAATGGTGTAATAATAGCATCACATAATAACATAGGCATGAATCATGCCAAATGATGCAGAACTGAATTTAAAGCTTGCAAGGTGCAATTTCAATAGTGTAATAATATTATAATAGCATCACATAATAATATCTCCAATGAACAACCCCCATTATTAATTTATAAATATATAAAAATTATTGATAAAAATTATATTAGTACTCTATCGATCGATTGATGTCGAACACCAAATATTTTAAATACTTCAATTTATAAATATATCAGATTTAATTTTAAAATTTTATGTTAATATTTTGACGGAATCTTACCCTCTGCATGGTATTATGTTTATGATGTGGTTGAGAATATGCCTGAATAGTGTTTAATCAATACAACAACGATAAAAAAGGAAATGATGTATGATAATCAAATCCTTTTTATTTTCGGGAGACTTTGCGAAGAAAATTTAATTTGTATATATCCATTAAATTCATTATACAATTAAAATTGAATGATTTGAAACAAGCGAAATTATATATAAAAACCAATTTGAACCTAACTAAATCCAATGAAAACTGAATTCGAATTGAATCTAAATCGAGTAATAACATATACCTAAATTTGAATCGAACGAAATATTTTATACAAATCGAATACGAATTGAATTCGAATCGAATGAATGTTTTAAAAAAATATATATAAATTCGAATCCTATATAAAAACCGAATTTGAAT